AATTCTCCTCTACACATTTACTAACAATGATTTGTAATAAAGTTTAAAATAATTTTATCATTAATCTTCAAGAGCTTATATACTTTCCAACATTAAATATTATTCGTTTTATAAATGTCCGCAGCAATCGGGGCATCCGCAGTAATACCCGCACTTACCCAATCGGAAATGTTGGATTCTAAATCGAGAAAAATAAACGTGAATCCCATATTTACCAAGTGTATACCCACTTTGAACTGTCACTGTACTTACTTCCCGCGGCGACGATCCACTTTCACCCGGTCTCGAGACTAATTTCTAATGATCGATCATCCGTTATCGCGTCCCCGTCTCGCGAACTTACGGTCGGCTCACGTTCGTTGTTCGCTGGTAATCGTGTCGACGTTATGCATTTTTCAGCGAGTTTGATCAAGTGGTGTCATGGTAATCGACGAGCTTGATAGACACGGTCTCAGACGCGGTTAATCCAAGTGGCTCGCGAGTGCAAGTTAATAAAGGTAAGTCGGGCAACGAACGACAACCCGACACAAATCGTTCTATAGATCAGTCAGATCGAAGACGACCGTCGCGTCGGACGGAACGTTTCTTTTACCACGGGAAAAGATTGCACGCTAGAACGGACGGATCCGAGGGAAATAAAAGGGGAACGGTGGCAGGTCTCGGGGATATACTAGGCTAGTAGAGTCAAACAGGTGCGATCGTTCTCATGTGAGTTTCTTCTTTTCTCGATTTGATCAATGGCACAGTTTACGCTTTCACTTGCGTGACCTACGGTAAAGGGGGTATTATTACATTTTTCCTTAACTTCCCCCCCCCCCATTCTCTTACTATTTCGAATCGATTTAATTTTCTTAATGAACACTCGAGATCAATCTATCCCACGTGAATTGATCGAGGGTTGATTACGGTGTCGTTAAATTAACCGATTTCGATCAGCATTATTCCGTTAACTGATTACTGTATCGAGAACACGAGACACAACGTGTGTGGAACCGGTAGTAAGAGGTGCGCTAGTACACTTCAGCTCGAGCGTGATACAAAGGTCGACGACGAGGAAGCGTTGTCGAGACGGGAACAAAAGCACGCCGAAGAAGAAAGAAATCGGCGGAGAACGGTCGGAAATAACGCGGGAAAAAGAAATGTTTCTTTGTTTTCAACGTAGACACTACTCCGTCCTCTTATCCACGAGAACGCGTCGTTGTCGCGTTATATTCTTCGGTCGAGGCTTCAGTACGCTCGAAAGCACTCTGAGTTCCTCCCTCGTCATTGCATACCCACGAGCAAACTAGGCTTCCACTAGGGGAAAAAGTGACGTAGGAAAAGGGCTTCCTATCACTTGGTAAATTCCCTTCAGGCAGTAAAATAAATGTTAAATCGAATATAATTGTTGATTTTCGATCGAAACTTCGAGGGCTGGTTTCACCCTTTAAAGTCGCATCTCAGCCGATAAAAAAAAATACGTATCCCTTATTTTTGACTGCTCAACATACATATTAAGTTTCATCAAAATCGGAGGGACTTTCGTGCATTTCCATGTGAGTGTTCAGACGTCACTGGACGCTTGACTGGTTCCGCGTGGGACTCGAACAGTGGTGAGGATGACATTTGAACACCGAGTGGAGCCTTTGAACACTCATCGATGATTTAGGTTATTTCAGTAGACTCGAATTTCACGATCGTAAATTCGAGTTATGGAGGTGAATTAACGATGGTGCTCAGTACGAGTGGATGGTTTTTCACAGCATTATTCTCGTTATTACGGAAAACAGGACACCCACGCAAAAATAGCCGTGCTCGATCGATAGCAGGAGGCCGGTTGTCGGACGTTGCTGGTTGACGTTTCTCCTCCTGACCGCGTAATTTCATCGATCTCGAGAGCAGACATGTGGCGGGTTCTCGCGAATGATCTCGCGCGTGTTCCCGACTTTCTTCTGGTAGAGACTGCGAGAGGAAAAACGACGACAGTCGTTGGTAACCGTGTTTGATTATTTAAATAATTATCAGAGTAGTTTGGCCGCCCAGGTGCGGGGGCACCTTTTGCACCCCCGCCAGGAACGGCCCTGATTGTGTGTATAGAGGATTCCCCACTCTTGCGGTGGTTCGGGCTACCGATCGAGAACGAGTTTAATTGTTTCCACGGAAATCGGATTGCTCGCGTATGTAAGTCAAGGGACCGAGGCGCGAGGTCTATAGGCGACAATTGTTCCCGTTTCGTTGTCGACGAACTCGCGGAAACGATTCGGGGACGTTCGAACTGGGGTGAACTGGCGTCGGTGAAAGAAACGTACGTACCGTTCGCGACATGTAGGGTAAACGACCCATTTACTGCCCTTACATCTTACCACTAGAGGGCCAAAATCTAAGCCACGCCTCCACCGACTTTCCCAATATTTGGTTATTAACAATGGGAGTCAAAATGTTAAAGAGAAAGACCTACGAGATATACGAACGGTAAGGGAATACAGTTGACTCTAACTATATTGCCACTAAATATATTGCCATCGAGGCATTTCCACTTCACACGTACTTTCGAGTACAAAAATTCGATCTCCCACCACGTTGCGTACGCCAGCCTACCAGTACGATCTAATCATGGGGGGGGGGAGGCGCTCAGAACTGATTGCCATTTTACTCCACTGCAGCCCCGGCCATGGCAATATAGTTAGAGTCCACTGTATTCTTTTCCTCGTCCATATGCGTTTCCGTACAGTACAACCGACCTGGCATTAATTCTCCAGGCATACATGTCAAATTCTTGGCGGTCTGGTTTCGTCATAGATCAGCCTCGAAACTGGCTCCTTTCGCCGGTATCAAACGCGTGTGTATGGTCGTGACGCACGCGACGTGTTTCCTACGCGAGGAACACGTTAGGCTGGCATTAATGCACCCCGCTCAGGGGGTTTCGTGACTCCCGTTGTTCATCGTTTAATATTCACGTGCACCTGACACGATGTCAACTCGACGCTGACGCCATCGCCGTGTCCAGTACACATACGACCCTTACGCGTTTTCCACTTTTTTTTTTTAAATTGGTCAACAAATTGTCGACTTCCTTTGATGATTCAATGGTCATCGCAATCATCTGTCGAGTATATATACAGGGTGATCCACGCAACTCGTTCACCCTGAATAACTTCTAAAGTATGCATTCTATGAAAAAATTGTACATTTTACGCACAGACCATTTCAAGAAACAAAGTGAAATTATTCGTTAATTATTAGGTTTACGGCTAATAAGGGAGAATAAAATTTGTTGAATAGAAGATCCGAAACGGTTGAATCCTCGTCCGCGAAAGTTCTTCCGGACAGTAAGGTCCACTGGGTACGTAGTTTCAGGGATCGATCGACCAGCATTCCTTCCTCGAGAGCTCCGAGCCCGACGAAAATTCTGATTCTCCTGTAAGGGGTTCCGTGAAAAGTTTCGATACAGGAGGCGATTTCGCGTAATGAAAGAACTTTGGAAATTTTTCTGCCATCGTTGCCATTCTGATGGAGAGATTGTCTTGTTTTTCTTTCACGAGCTCGCGAAGTTATCGCGATGGTAATCACTAGATTTCGGATCTTTCTACAAAACAACATTTTACGATACAATTTACATAGTCAGGATTTAAAACAAAGACTTCTTTCTCCTATGAAGTTGTTTATCAGGTTAAGAATAAAATTTAACACTCGAGTTACCAACGATAAATTCTAGTGTTAAAAATGTATTAAACCTGATGCAAGTTCTATTTTCTATTGCATTTCACATACACCTGTCCCTCAATTTACGCGGAATATTTGCACCATATGGTTCTTCTTTATGCAGATAAAAATCGTCTAAATGGAGCCTGGCTATACGAAAAAATATTCTCAAGAGAAAAGGCAGTATAAGTTCTAAAAATATTTATTTAAAAAGAAAAACTAAATGGAACGAATACTCTCCGTAAATCGAGGGACAGGTGTACCTCTTTATGCTGTAAATGCATAAAATCCGCAGTCTAGTAATCACAGTAGGTCGACTTAAAAACCACTACCTATCGAACTAACATCCCCAGAGGCTATTTAGGGTTTTTTTGTTTTTTCCATTCTTAAGTTCGATGGAAGTCGAACGGTCCCCGAAGTCGAGGAAAAAACGATGGAACGACTAATTCTGTCTGTTCGTGTCGGTCGGAAAGGCGCAACGGACGCAGCCGTACGGACGGACGGTTAGACTAGCGCGCGCAACGTTCTCGAATCGGGCCACGGGGCCAAGGTTGAACGTTGTTAGGTTCCTGGCAACACCCTGACGCGACGCAACGGGTCGGTCATCGGCAATTCCGAGGAGTTGCTGGCGCGACTTGGCGTCGCGATCGCTCGAGACCCCGTACCACAGACGATCGCATGAGAAATCTTCATCGGACGAACACCCGAAGCGATAGATCACGACCGATAAAAAATTACCGATTCGATACTCTGTATCGAAACTAAAGTATTACTGCCAGTGTCCCTAATACTGCCAGATTATTTATTTTACCTAATAAAAACGTACGTTTTGCACAGTAATAGACCTTGGAATTCTGACGTCAATGGTATTTGTTTCAGCAGCATGTGACCATTAATTTATGAAATATTTAATGTTCAGTGTCAAGGAGCATTCGAACACTCATCGAAGATTTACCGTATTACGTTCCACCAGTGAAGTTGCCACACGATATACGTGCGGTAAACTTATAATTGCGGTGCAGTTGCGATTACAATCACAGAGCGAATGCGCACGGTTATCGGTTGTGGTTCCCAGGGCGAGAATCTATATCCCGTTTGGATTTTAATTGGTTTCGTACGATTAATTAGAACGGTAATACAGCGGAATATGAAATTCCCCGGGGGATAATTCTCGTTGAAGAAAGCAACGAGCGGAGAGCACCGCCCTCGAGAAAACCTTACCCGGTCGGTGTGTATATTTTTTTGTATTTTTTTTTTCTTCTTCTTTTCAGATGGCAGTTACGAGCCGGTCGACGCGGAGAGAGGCAGCATGAGCCACTAGAAGAGGCCGGTTCCGTCTCCGTGAAAGTGGATGAGAAGCGGCGAGAAGGAAGATGAGAGTCCGCGAAAGTTGAAGTAAAAAGCCTGCACAACGAACAGCAACAGCCTGCCTCGTCCACTGCGACCAGCCAAATATCTCACGTTAAGGTAAATCTTTTTTTCGTTTTCTGTTCATTCCATGCAATCCTTGTGGTATTTGTTCCTCCGCCAACGACATCACCATGCACGAGATTTTCATCCTTTGATCGGTCACGTTCACGGTCGACAAGACAGTAAATGGAGGAATTCGTTTGCGGAATTTCCGAAATCTTGCCTGGAAAGTATGTTTTATTCCAGGTCGACGTTACAGAATATACTCGAATCGCGAGACGGTCTATAAGGGGGCATGACATTAAAGGAAATTCCGATCACGCTCTTTTTACGTGGTCGAAATTTAAATTCCCCATCGGTGCGGACGTGGCCGCGAGCAACCGAACTACTACGTCCGGGGGAGACGGATCGAAGGATCGAGGGAAGAAGTCCGCTGCGGCTAAAGAAAAACAAAGTAGCTACGTGGCAGGAAGAATAGAACCACGTAAGACGTTCCTTGGGAAACGTGACCTGAAACATTCAATATACAGGGTGTCTTAAAATAGCTTCAACTCCCTTAAATGATGGGTTCCTGGGATGATTTGAAGCAACTTTTTCCTCGACAAAAATATTATCCGAGGCTTCGTTAACCACACCTCACGAGTCTTCCATTTCTGGGTCCTCCAACATTTTTGTTACACCCTGTATAAACGATCCGAGAATCCTCGAGATTTTACCAGCGATAGGGGATGGTGGACGCCGTGTGTGTGCGTACGAGAGGTAGAATCCTTTCGAGTGATCCTTTTAAAAGGATCCGAGGTCCGGGATCAAATCTCGAATAGATCCCAGACAGTAAAGTTCAGGGGAATTAATCCGAAACCGGGGGATCAAGTTGGGCACACGGAGACACATTGAAAAATCAGTTGGTCGTGGAATATCCGCTTTGAAAAAGCTATTCTCCCTGAGTAAATTTAACCTTAAAGGTGCTCTTTGACAGAGGCCATCCATGAAAATCAGGTTGTTTCATGCAAAGAGGCTGCCACGGGCGCGCTTTGAAGTTTGACGAACCGTGAACGGCATCCCGGATGAGGCATTATTAGCCCTGTCGCTAAATAACAGACTCTGTCTGTATCTCTTGATCCCCGTCGATCATTTATGTTTTTTTCACGACCACCGATTCATTTTTTTTTCGTTTGATCTCTGTACGAGTACCGTGCATCGATTGGGACACAAATCTGAAGTTATTACTAGACTGTGGATATTTATATGAATTCACAATTTTAGACACTGAGGGAAGAGCCTAGTGTTAGCTGGTTAAAAATGAATGAATTTTTTGGGAATTTCTTGTGAAGAAATTATTAAATCAATGTCTTGGAAACCTTGAGAATAGTTTATTTTTCAATTAAACTGAATACAACAAATTTTATTTCCACGCCCTCGTATCGATTCGATCGAATACTAATCGTTCTCTGGAATTGTATTGGTTCTCGTGGCGGTGCCACCGGTGTGGCACGAATATCGGTCGGTCATCTGGCACCGGCTGTTGTCCTTAGAAACTCGCCGGCAACCGACACGAATTACGTCGAACAAAGTTTCGGGATCGAGATCTGGAAACTCTGGAAAAGTCGACTAACAGGACCTATCGGTGAGAAGTCGCGAATCGAAGCTCGTCGATGGAAATTTCAATGTTTTCACGGGGAAACCCTCTAAAAGGAAGGAACCATGACTTCTCGAAGACGAAGTAACATTGTCCATTTGCCGTTCAGTCTGTGGTCGTGTTCGTTTGGCGAAATGATGACGAGTGGGGGTCTCCGAGCGACGTGAATCGTAGGCAAACACGAGTAGTCGATTTAAATGGTTCACGGCGAAACCGCGGCGACCCGGTTTCACGGGGGGCTAAAATCTCGTCCTTAACCTAGCTAGTTAATTCAGCACCTTCACCTTTGCGTGATGTTATCGACTTCCTTGGGACTTGGGGAAACAGGGGATTCCGTGTTAAAGCCGGATCGGGGCGAAAGTCGTAACTCGGGACATACCACCGTTGAGTTAAGCTGACCGCGAAAGCTGCTCGTGAATCTAGGAACAGCTTTCTCGATGGTCCATGCAACTGGCTGAGACGTCGAACATTTTCAATCTGACTGCTATGCCGTGCACAGTGGTGCTATGTACATAAGAATCGCGGAGAAAACCTCACAACTTTCGTATCTCTCGATATTTTTCAATAGTTTTGGTTTATACAATTCCTTAATAGCCAAACTTTATACGGACAGTAATATTAAGAAAACTAATACGTACATTATAAATACAACCATAAAGAACAAATTGTTTAACTCCGAACATTATGAAACACAATGAAATAACATAATGAAACAATGATATATATATATTAAGGTATTACTATTGTAACGTACAGACTCTTCTCGATTATTGTCCCGAACTCGGGACTGCGCCGGGACAATAATCTTATAGTGAGAAATGCTTCAGACCCTCGAAAATTCGTTTCTTGTCCGAAGCCCGAGCAACAAAACTATGACAGGTTCCACGCGCCCAGTAGTTGGGATAACGCGAGGACAATAATCGTGTAGACCAAGACGATAATCGAGAGGAGTCTGTACAGTGTATCATTGGAAAAGAACGCGAGTGAGAAAAGTAGAAAATCGAAACGACGATTGTGTAATTGTATCGCGTCGGTAGACGTAATGGGAAAAGTAGGTAAAGTATATTTTTAAATCTTCCCTCGGGGGAATTTGCGCAGAGCTCGGTGGAGGAGGGGAGCGTTATTTGCGCGCAGTCTCGTTAGAAAAGCAAAGAGACACCCGTTGAATAGAGTTGGAAGGTGAGGGAGGGTACATTTCCCTTTCAAGTCCTCTACGAACGCACGATCCCGTCCGTCCTTTAATTACGGAAAATTGAATGAAAGCTTCCGTGGAAATTGCGTTACTCGAAATATTACGTGTCCGTCCCATATCGGATAAATCGGCGGTGGCGCGCAGCAAGGGTGTGGGGACAGGGGGTGGTTGGCGTCTCCGTGTCTGCCGTGCTAGATACGTATTCTAAACCCGTTTGTTTCCGAACGACAGTCGTCATCATCCTTTCTTGCTGCGATTCTGCCTCGAGACGAAACGTTACCGATCCCAACGATCCAACAATTCACTATTCGCTCGAATCAGGGGATGGACAATCGAAATATTGGAGAATATTCTAAAATTCTAAAATCACCCTTAATGGTACCAGAATCTCAACTTCCGTCAGAGTACGGATTACCTTACCGGTTAATCGGTAAAATCTCGTGGAGAAAATGCCAGATAAAAGAGCGTGTTAGAAAAACTGGAGGAAAGGATATAAAATCGAATCGATGCTGAGAGAGGAGAGATCGTTCACGTCGGCGTGAAGTTCAGCCGTGAAAGTAGACAGGTATCCTGCGAAGGGAGGGAGAAAAAAAGATAAGTGAGAAGAAGATAAAGGAGGAGAAGAGCTCACTGTGGAAAGGAGCCGCGGACTTGGAATGGGACAGGCTAAGCCACGTGACATACTCTATAGCGTTTCGTGCCGCAACGCCCCGTATTGATCGAACGAACATCAGCTGTACGGTTGGTGGTAGCGTACTCGTTTACCCGTACCTACAACCCCCTCCCCCTCTGGTCTGACCAACGCTGTCCAACGAGCACTGTCACTATCAACTTGTTACCTTCTTCCGTCGTGTCTTCTCTCCCCGTTCCTCTGTCCAGATGCTCGAAAGGTCAAACCTTGTCCGATTCGTTCGACAAAGAATCGATGGACTATTATGATGTAGGGTAGAGCAACCAGTAATTGATTGCGTACCAGTTAATGATCATGTGGCAAAAAATGTAAATTATAAATTTGAAAAATTATTCAATGTTTATAAATGTAGCGATTTTGTCACTTTTAATATTCTATATTTTTAGTTCGGCGTATTACGCAAACGTTAATCATTTTTAATGAAAATGTATTCAGAAATGAAGCAGACTGGGCTTTTACACGTTTTCCAGTTTAGGAATAAGTTTTGGAAAATACAGGATCATAGAACTATACACACGGTATCCGAGGCGGAAGAAGCGATTAATACGCGACAGGGACTACAAGTGAATCGAAGAATATCGGTTGTCGCCTATAGCGTGGCAGCAGCAGCAGCTTCGTTCTTAAATGGATTTCCGGGAGGGTAACTCGTCTTTTTCGATGGAGATTACTCTCTCTAAGCTGCGGCTAACGTTCGCGAGATTAACTCGATTTCCCGAGATTATGAGGAAAATTGAAAACGGCGGCGGGACATCGATTTGATTTTAACGAGGTACGCCAGAGTGGGTCGGATAGATGCCCCCTATTTTGGGACCGAGGGTGGATTCGATAAGCGTCGTCACGGTTCGTAGCGCGGCGAAATTGAAAGTCGTGGTTTCCGGGGCAACGAATCAGCGGCGAGAAAAAAATTATATACACAGTGTGTAACAAAAATGTTGGAGGACCTGGAAATGGGAGACTCGTAAAGCGATTTGAAATAAATTTTTGCTCAGCAAAAATGTTATCCGAGGCTTTGTTAACCAGATATTAACGAAAAACCCCGACCAATCAGAGCACCACGAGTCTGTCAGCCGAACTTCCGCGGTGGCGTTGGCTACCAATCGCAGCGTGTACCGAACGCTACTGCTACGGATAACATTTTTGCTAAGGAAAAACTTGTTTCAAATCACCTCGCGAGTCTCCCATTTCCGGGTACTCCAACATTTTTGTTAAACTCTGTAAATTTCGCAGGCAGCGTTTCGTCGTAAGCGGATTTCAACAAATTAATCAGGCACCGCTTCAATGGGGTGGGGGTGGGGGGGGGGGTTAGCTTGCTGATATTCGCGTTGATGTAGGGTCCGTCAAACATGTCCAGATTATTCGCGCGTGTTCACCGAATCGCGAACTCGTCGAAATATTGGCTTTAACGGATTTTCAAGCCCCTCACCGGGTCCGATTTTGCGGTGATTTTCCGGGAACTGGACCGAAATCACCGGATGTGTCCTTCCTTTTCCATCGGTGTAAATGTTTACCGCGATCGTTCGAACAGATACGCGAAACGACGATCGAAACTCAGCCCATTTTGCCTCCCTCCGGTGTGGCAGCCGCTTGGCTGCTCTCTCGTTGCGAGCTAATCTACCGTAATTATGCGTCCACCGTTCGAAGGTAAATCCTCGTACGGGATCATATTTTACGCGTCGATGAAGACAAAAATATTAGCATCGATTCCGATGGAGGGACTAAGGCGTGCAACTGGTTGATCTCCGATGCGTTGCGCGCTGCTTGTCGCGGCGCTTTATATACAGGGTGATAGAAGAAAAGGATTCGTAACCTCTGGGGTAGATAGTTTAGTTCAATTCTTACGGGTGTGAACCCTTTTTACAATATATTGAAATAGAAAATAGAAGCGTTGTTATATATCTAGCATAGTAAGCTACGTGATAATCACGACAAAAAAGTAGTACAAAGTAATAGACTTGTATGTTTTTCATTTGGCCTGTTGGTATTTACAAATTTCTAAAATGATTTGATATCACACTGTATAGTCTGTTCCGTGCGCTTGACATAATTATCATAACAAATTGATGTAAGAGTCTTGGATTTAGATCTGAGTTTACAGAATTGATTATAACTAGCATTACAGTTTCTTCTTCTCTCGGTTACAGAAGATTTCTCCATTTAGAATTTCCACGTTCAATGAATTAAAAATAACCAAGTACTTTTTCAATCTTTCATTCGTCATTCGAAACTCTTTAGATAATTTGCTCATGTCTGGATATATCTGTGCTCCAGACACGGGGCGCGATTTAACCTTTTCCAAGGTGGAAACAGCCGGCACTTTGGAGAACCGCCCCGAGGCCGACTTCAAAAGGCCGATCCTGTCTACACGGGAGCAAAGGCACACGACGACGCGTCGTCTGGGTTCGCCTTTCACCGATACAAACAGCCCCCCGGGCTGCCAGTAAACTGGCAAAAGCTGAGCCCTGCTGGTCTTGTCGACGCGGTCCGATTACCGTGGCTCGTTTCCATACAGCCATCGCCTCTTGATTACCGGTTAATCGACACCGTTCTCGAGCTCCTACGTCTCACGGAAGCCGTTTGGTTGCAGCTGCAATGGTTCAACACTAAAACTACCGAGTCCGTCAAAACGACGGATTTCAGAGTTTTTATTTCACAATCATTGAAATCCTAGAGGTACTTTCATTCAGATTTATATTAACGTCTAATGTCTTATACACTCTAAGGGTGTCCCAAAATAGCTTCGACTCCCGGAAATTGAGGGGTTCCTGGAATGATTTGAAATAACTTTTTCCTTAGCGAAAATACAAAAAAAAAAAAAGAAGAAGAAGAAGCCAATAAAAGTGAAACGAACGTTCTTCGATTATTCGAAGCAAAGGAAACGATCGAATACCGATTGTCAAAACGGATTAAACGTCGCCGGTCTTTTCGATCGCGCGAAACTGTGCGTGCTGGGTGAACGTGTTCGTGTTTAACCGTCGATTCTTTACACGGACTTACCGTGTAGATTGGATTAGAAGCCGCAACGACGGATGACACCGATTGGCAATTTGACGTGGGAAAAGACTAATTTCCGGTTTCCACCGGTTGTTCGAGATTGGTTGCTGAGAATTCTTAAAGTTACGAGGCCCATAGTAACAATCCTAGTGGTTTCCTGAGGTGAAATAGGCTCAGGTTCCTCCATGAAAGTCTTTCTTAGTGGCTCCCTGTGATAGACACAGGTTGGTCCACATAACAAACTAAAAACCCAAACTCGCCATTCCTCGGCTTTCGCATCCACTTAGCCCTGGCGCGTAACAACGGAAACAGAACCCTGGGGGGAGTCGAAGGGTCAACGGAAGAAGTGAAAACGGTACTCGAAGCAATTCCTGGAGAGGGTCGGCGTATTTTCGCGCGACAAGCACTTGGAAAGCGTTTGCACAGGAACTCGGGGTACTTTGCACTTCAGTTAACGTCCAAGCGAGCCAGCAGCGAGCTTTGAATACTTTTCGGAGAAGGGGAATGTTATCCAAACTCTTGCAACGGTCGAAGGTAGACGGTCGGGCCGGCGACGAGGTCGCTGTAAATGTGCACCGCAATGTAAACTGGTGATTTCGGTGACTCCACGATCGCTTAACTTAGGAACATTGCGATTACGTATTAACGAACGAACTGGGATGAACGAACGAAGGAACGTCGCTTGACGTCAACTCTCCGAAGCTTCTCGCATCGTTTCCCGACCCAGACATCCCGACGCTGGGGGTTAAAACCAGCTCCTCCACCTCCTCTCCCTTCGTCTAGCTTCGAGAGTCGGTCCAGAGAGATTAACTCGAGGCTATTCACTCTTGGCGTAGAATACTTCGACGCCCTCGGGGAAAATACTTGGTATTCGTGTTTAAAACTGAAATCCAAAGAATCACCGACACTCAGTGGCCAATACGTTAACGGGAGCAGTCTGGCGTGAACAGCTAGAAATGAACGCATTTGTGGGAATTTATTGTGAAGGAAGTATTAAATCAAACTCTTTGAAACTTTGTGAATACTTTATTATAGAATTAAATTGAATAAAAAAATTTTCATTTTCACGACAAATTCATAAATGTATTCTATGCCGTCAATATCAAGGTACAGGTTCCCCTACAATAAAGTATTCTCAAAGATTCAAAGAGATTGGTTTAATAATCTCTTCACAACAAATTCCCAAACACTCTAGATAAAGACGCGTGGTCGATGTATGTAGGTCGTCGCGACGAGCCGCTTGAAATCACCGGAACAACGAACGCGCCACGCGCGTTCTCTAGCCCAGCTGTAAATTCAATTTGTTCGATCGATACTCGATTAAACGGATTTACTTTGTCACGGTGAATAGGTTGAATTTAGTTAAACACTCGCCGTGCTTCTTCTAGTCGCGAATCGTTCGAACGATTACATTATAACGCGTCGCCGTTAAACCCTCCGACTATTGAAGCAGGATCTACTGTGCCGGAATCATTTATGACCCCACACCGATATTCAGGCTCGAGACTCCCATCATGGCCACAATTTCTATAAAGTCACCATGTTTTCTGATAAATTCATACAATTATTCGATACTAATTAAAATCTGAAAATAAGGGTGACTTTATAGAAATGTCTGCCAGTGTATTTTGGTTCCTCGTGGGTTCCCTCCCATTTCGACCATTCGACCTCACTTATCCAGTTCCAATTGCTCGAATATAATACTAATAAAACGAAACCTGCTTTCTGTTTCAGATGACATAGAATGGGTTGGGTGGCGCTAGGGCGGTGTGCGGGTGGTGGCGGCCGCCTCTCGTCCGTCCTCTCGCTGTCTCTCACCTCCCTCGCAAGCTCCCTCATCTTCACCATCCTCTGTATCCTCACACTTGCCCTCGCTCTTGTCACCCTCGCGCGTGCAGAGAACATGTACGTATTATCCGAACAGGATTGTCATAAATTTTTCTCAACGAAGAACAAAAACCATCCTGTGTCTCTCCCTTACCTTCTCGATTCGTAGACCGCCACGAGTCGTGGGTACAGCGAACAAAAAAATAATTATAAAAAATTAAATATTGCATAGAGTGATTCGAAACGGCCGCCTATATTTCCTCGGGTATTATCGAATCGAGGAGGTAAGGGATCGCGAGGCACTCTAGCGTAGAAGAATTTTTTGCTTGCGATAGGATCGAGGGATCGACATTCTAGCGAGAGGATCAAATAGTCCGCGATGTATACAAGTAGACCAGAAACTACCCCCGACACTCGGATTCAGTGGCCACGAATTTAAAATTCCTTTTTGCATGGGATCATCGAGTAATATACAGTAAATCATCGATGAGTGCTCGGAGGCTGCTCGTCACTGAATGTTCAGACGTCATCCCCACCACTGGACGCTTGACTCGTTCTAGAGGACACCACCCCCGGTGGTGGGAACAACGTTTGAACACTTAGTGATAAAAAGCATTCGAAAACCCATCGATGATTCACTGTATACCGTTAATGTCGCCTCGTTTTCACGTTCAAAGGCTCTTATACTTGTTCTACGTTTTTAATAATTGCTCGAACTTGTCTCGTGTTATCGAAACGGGGGACGTCGGTCGACCGAAGGGACACGCTTCAAGCTCTACTCGCTAATTAACTATCAATCGAACTCGCTTCGTTGATCGTGATTGTTCGCCGACGATCTCGAGAAACAGAACCGTTCATTCGCCCGACCGAGGTCCCGCACACACGTTCGATCGCATCCCCGTTTAGTACGTAAACACGTTTAGCTGGAGTAGTACAGATTTTGATTATTCCTAGCGATCGTGGTGTAGCAATCACGATCGAGGCATACAACGGTCGTTGAATAGCGTGTGTTACCGGAACAATTCGGACGAGGCTCGATGGTAGAAAAGCTGTGTACGTTCCATATAGTGCGTCTAGAGAGCTGTGTATACTACATTCTCGTAGATCGTATTTTTTTTTCACTTGATTCTTTCTCTCCTTCGATATACCGACCATCGTCACTGCGAATTACGAAGTTCGAGGGAGAAACGCGATATTTCTTCTCACGGTATACACACATACACACACTGGGCTCGAGGAGCTAGGACGCGGACCGTTCCCGGGTATCTGGAGGATCGACTCATTTGAGAGAAAGAAAAAGAGAGCATTGAGTTATATACTAAGAAGGGAAGCGGTCAGACAAAAAGAGAAGATATCCAATAAAACTGTTCGGTGTTACATACATTCACAGATTACGGTGTGGCGTCTATACCCTTCTCTCCACGGAAATGAACAGGCTCCTCTCGATTATTGTCTCGAACTCGAATTGCGCCGCGACAATAATCGTGTAGAACAAGCCAGACGATACTCGAGAGGCGTCTGTACTACAGAATGATATATAGAGAGGATAAAAGGGAAAAAGGAAAGGTTCACCGTATATCTTCCGTTTCTCTCGAACCTCCGTCGCCTGTCTACTTCTTCGCAGAGGAGTTAGCTCTCTAATTAGTACATAGCTCAATGAGAAAGAGTGAGAGAGAATGATCCGAGGTCCCTGGAACGGGTCGAGAAAAGACAAAGAACGATCCCCCGGGCGTTCGCCGCCTGCGAATCGTGGATCGACGCGACGATCCGACGACGGCATCCGGGGGCTAGCTACAGTCCGTTGTGTTGCAGCTTCGAGGAGGGCAAGTCGGACAAGGAGATCCTGGACCACCTGCTGCTGTCGACGCGTTACGACAAGCGGCTTCTGCCCCCGGTCCAAGGTACACTGAGGCCCCCGCCCCACACCCGTCGAGACGACTACACCCCTGACTACCTCGTACCCAATCACCCCGACCATCCAGAGCACCTCGAACATCACCGGCACCGCTACCACCACACAGCACCACACAACCACAGCTCACTGCTCACCCCTCGTCAAAAGGGTACTTCTATATAGAACAAAAAGTACAAAAGATATATAAATATATATACGTCGAATCGGATCACGCTAAATCAGCACGAGAACGAAAACGAGAGCGAACGGACGAAAACGGAGTTTGTGGGGGGAGGGAATTACGCCCAGGGTGAAAAATGAGCGATTCCCTCGCCACGCTTCTCCGACTGTTTAGGATGCGAGTGTGCGATGTCTTGTCTGGAAGAATACTGAGTGGTTGCTGGAGCGATTGAAGCTGGTTCGTTTATAGATTCTTTCCAAGGCTGAAAAATGGTCAATTAGCGCGAAGGGGGGGGGGGAAGATCGAATCGTTGGAGAACGCGCGATGATCAGTGGAGAGAACACTGTTACCAGAAATTACCCTCTTGGACCAGTGAATTGTGCGGACGTCAGATGTCTTGTCTCGTGTAGACACCCAGTGTGTCTACAAAGGTAGTTTCAACGATGTGAAGTAGATCTTCACTTGAGAAATTCAAGAGTTCTCGAGAAAAATAAAAAACGAATGAAAAGAAACAGGTCTGTTCGATATCGATATTTTCCACTTCGAAATAACGAAATGTAACATATACAGGGTGATTTAGCTGAATGTGTCAACTAAATTACTTGTTAACTGTTTGTTATACGAAAAAATGTTGCAAGCAAATGTTGTATGGTATCGGAAGGCCTATACGATATAACAATTAGTCAGTATATCAGTCCCTTAATTTTGAAATAACGATTTAAGGATATGAGCGTTAAAAGTGTTAATTACGTCCTAGCAGATTAGTACCATTAATCGCCACATGTTCTGTGTACGCGAGACAGGACTCCTGAACTCGACAAAACTCATTAGTTCAAGACAGGTGATTTCTGGCAACGGTGGTGTACAACGATCGAGCATATTGAATGAACGAAAGAATGTAAGAGGTGAACGTTGAACGAAAGGAGAATGAGAACAAGTTGTGTAGATACAACAGGGAAAGTATAATACAAATGTGGAAAAGGAAATCCGGGCGAAAAGAAAATATATAAGACGGCCCCTACAGGGTGTCCCCAAATAGGTGTAAGTCCTTGGAAGGGGTGATTTGAAACAACTTTTTCGCTAAGGAAAAAGTTTTTTCAAATCACCACAGGAATAGTCTCTTTCAAAGACTTACACCAATTTTGGGACACCCTTGTAACGGCGAACCCGAGTGGCTGGCCGAACCGCGTGAGAGCCGTCTGACCAATGCCGGTCCTCTATCACTGGGGCTTCTCGCTCTCCGTGGTCTCTCGTCGTACGACAGCTGTTTACCACGGTAGTGGTGCCCGCTTGGAAATTCAATTTCCACGCGGGTAATAAATCCCTCTCAACCCATTCAGCGAGGAATTCTTTCTCTAGAAGTGAGAACTTCCCGTCGGGGCACGGGGAACTTCTTTTTTCCTTCCCTGGTATTTGCATCTGGCCGTAAACAGAAGAAGCACGGAGATCTTGGAAATTCATTATCGTTGTAAAGGGATGCCGTGCCAACGATTTCAGAGCATTGGCTGCGATTCAATCGATTGAACGAGGGTGTTTTCCGGGAAACGCGTATCGTTGTTATGCTCGCGATTAATTTTCGGCTCGAGCTAACGAAGCTTCTAATTACATCCGTGCAATCGACGCTCGTTTCGCGCGGAAAAAGAAAACGGCCCTTCGACGTCTAGTGGCTGCCGTCGCCGATGACGTTGCGGAAGTGTGCTTTGCATTCCGTTTCTATCGAAATCACCGGGCACCGTTATCGATTACGCGTGGCCTGGATTTATTCGGATGTAAATTCCCTTGGCTCCTGGCTATTGGTCATCGATCGAACGAACGAATACGGATCCGTTCCAATGGATTGTGTTTACCAGTGAACATTAGATGTGTTCAATTTTATTGTTGTGTTACCCAAGGGAAACGATCTTTCGAAGAATCGAATCAGAATCGAACATCCGTAATGCACACGGTAAATATAAAAAAATTGAGAGGGTAAACGATCGATACAAATGCTGATTTCTCCTGCAGAATCGCGAGCACTACTACTTGGAACGGTTAGCCGATCGAAACGAAGCTCAAAGAGAGTATAATCGCGTCACGTTTTCACGATAGGGTATGTACACCGATATATCGATACGTTCGCGGCGATTAACACGCTCCACTTGCCACTGCCAACATACTCATTCGATCGGCTCGAACGGTTTAAGAAACCGACGAGTTTTTCGCGAGGAATAAATTTGAATTTCTCGGATAAACGGTGGGTGGTTGGGGTTCGGTCGATGGGAAAATTCGCGATTAACGTACACCGTTCCGCGTCCTTTTCCACGCTCGATTCGTTCGCGCAGACCGTAATATTTATAGATGGACGGAAAATCGGGTCGAGGACGGAAATTTTCTTTTTCTGCTCGAGTCGCGAAACGCTTGGACGGAAAACTCTGTGTGTGTGTGTGTGTGTGTGTGTGAGAATCACCAGAGATAAAAGGCCGGTGCCGCGCGTTTCTTAGCCCTTTCGGTTTTTTACGTCGATCCCGGGGTCTTGTCTCACCACGATCAATCGCACTGGACCGAGAGTTGTGGGACAGGGGGATGATGGTTTGTCCATGTCAGGGCTTTGAAAACTGTTATAATATCGATTTAGGTTCGGGAAACAGTTATGATGAACCTTTATTCTGAATAACTTTTACGAAGAATCGAAATTTCATCGTACAGACTCCTCTCGATTATTGTCCCGAACTCGGATCCGCGCCGGGACAATAATCGTACAGGGTGAAATAGAGTAAATGCTGTTCGTAACTCTTTCAATCAGAACCTTTATATAACAGTTTGAAACCGTTATTTTCGGAACCGTTTCAAGCCCTGGTCCTCGTTAAACGGCGTCCGTCGTGTTTTTCTCTTCGTTTGGATGGCAAAATCAGACGGTTCTCCGAAAGCCGGCCACTCACGTTCTATCCCTCTCTCTCTCTCCGAAAGAGAAGAAGAGGCTCTTCTCAAGCTTGAACGAGGTTTTGCAGAGGAAAGCTTCCATACACCTCGTCGAGGTATCGAGACGCGTTTGCGATGTCGCGCGATACAGCCAGCCTTTTTAGTAGTTTGCAGCTATGCCGCGTAGAAACACCCGTTCGAAGCGTAAGTACATATGTACGTGTGTACACCACCGTTCAGAAGTGTCCGAGGACATATGTATGATGATGCAAATTTGCAAAATATTCTACGAATTTTTCTAAATTGCAATTCGAAATGTCTTTATCAATTTTTCCAAGTTTATCTTAGCAAAATTGAATATAGAAGAACGTAAGTGATATTTATTAACAAATGTACTTATGACGAAAGTTTCATGAAAATGTATACGCAGAATATACAGGGAGAGTCAAAACTAAGTACACAGTAAATCCTGGATGAGTGTTGCAAGGCTCCTTGACACTGAACATTAAATATTTTATAAACTAATGACCATATCCGGATGAAACAAATATTATTAACATGGAGGGGCAGAGCTCCCTCCGTGCTGGTGCGCCAGTATACGCAACGTGATGGGAAAGCAAATTTGTGTGTCGACAATTTATTGTGTCCGAATACTTATGGACGGTAGTTATGTACGCACGTAATTAGCAGCTTCGCGATACGCCTCGTTTCCGTTTCGAGCGCTCCTTCACCCCTTCTGCTCTTGGCGCACTTCGAGCCAGAATGTCTGCCAGAAATCCCGCCATCGATTAACAGCCATTCCATTGTAGACGTGTTCCGTTCTTCCCGGGCGACGGTCGATCGCGAAAATTCGAGATCTTTTTGGGAAAACGATATCATGCATGCATCGACCTAATATTAGTCGGATGAGAAGGGGGGACGGGAAATCGCGTGAATCACATTTTCACTTCTGGATCACATTCGATCAAGTTCGTTTCCAATCACGGTGATTTTTTACAGTGATTCGTGATTTTTCGCGATAGTTTCTGATTGGTGGTGCACACCATCTCTAATGCGGAAGCGTCTCAGGGATGCAGAGTTCGTAAAAAACACGGTTACTCGTGCCAAAGCTCGGGATCAAGGTATGCGAGCACGATCACTTCGAACGCGTCCAAAATAATATTCCGTCCGATCTCGAGACACACACGTGCTCGAGGATCGACGGGTGGCACACGTGCGACGCATTCAGTATTAATTAATGGAAAAATACGATACCTTAATAATAATTCTATTCATAAAAGAATGACAACGAGAGTTTCATTCGAGTCCTCGCCGGGACAATAATTCTGTAGGGAGAAATGCTTACCTCCTCCCTCGACAATAATCGTGTAGAACAAACCAGAAGATAATCGAGAGGAGTCTGTATAGTGTCTCTAGGCTTGACTATGGGTGATATTCAGAGTGGTCTAAATATTATACGTCTATCAAAGAAATGAACAGAAGTTGGCATGAAAGGGGCAGGGGGGGGGAGGATCGGGGTGAAACGACGAGAAAACGATGGCTACATACAGGGGTGAAGGGAAGCGTCGAAATGAAGAAAATGCGACTGGGTCGTGCGCTACGAGTGCATGGGAACTGCATTATTCAGAATTCAGAGTTCGTCGGAACGAGAGGCCGCGCCTCGCCCAGCGTGTGCCACTTTCCAATTCTCTTTTCGAGGGAACCCTGAGCGTTCGCGAAGCTTTTTAGCTTTTTTCTTTTATTCGTTTTTTTTTTTTTTTTTTTTTTTTTTGTGTCTTTGCTTTCAATCGATTTAGACGCACGCACAATATTATTCTCGTACGAATCGATCGGACCGGTGTGTGGACTCGCGACGCGTGACGTCAGGCAGCAGGAAAAGCGAAAACGGGAAGAAGGATGAGATGTGGGCAAGAGTTGTTGGCTGTCACAGATATCTACTGTGTCGGTGGACAACGACAAGTATAGTGACTTTCTCGAAACTCTTTTTTTTTTTTTTTTTTTTTTTTTTTTTTTTTTTTCTTTCATTCGCTTCGGTCACAGGTACGCCTACACCTGTGTGTATCGCTTGAATAAAAACGCGCGGTCCCTTTCGCCTAGCCAGTAGCATTGCTTCTGCTCGGCGGAGCCCATCCTGCGACATTCTACCGCATATGTCACTATATTTGTTCCACCGACAATACACACTGACAACGAGACTCTAACGAAAATTTACAATCCTCACCTTCCTCTCGCCATATATATGTATATATAAACATGTGTATATGTAAATATATATGCTCGTCGCTCTGTTACGTCGGAGCGGCGAACGAATAACGCCCCTAAAAGCCGTCCCACGAGATCGGAAAGGAGGGGCCAATTGTCCCGGGCGCAAAACGATAAGTACACCGAAAGGAACTATCAACGTGTAAAACATGTGTCATTGGAACGTTACAAGAGACGTAGAAAAAGAAAAAGAAACCCGTAGTTGTCGTTGCTGTTTTACCGTAGATTCTCTGTTTGTTCCAATCTGCAAGTGAACACTGTTTCTTGTTTTTCCTCGATTACCCTTGAAGAATGATTTATTGTAGATCGCGAACGTAGGATCGAAACAGAGTTTCTCGTTTTGAGTCGCGCGGTTCTAGCGGTGACGAAAAGAAGGATGAGACGTGGGCAAGGGTTGTTGGGTGTTACAGATGCGGATCTCTGCTGCGGAATGCGATGGCCTGGTGACGCCACCAGCCCGTCGAACCGGTCGTCGACCTCCTCTAACGACCCCAAGAACCAGTACAAGAACCAGAACAATAACCACTACACGCCGCACCAACACCTTCGCACCCACCTTCGCGGTCCGTTCTTCTGCTTTTACATCTCTCGTAACCTCGTCTAGAAAAATAATTAAGGCTATCACGATTATTCTTCATTCCGACCCAGACCCGAACCGAACCGACCCCAACCGAACCGACCCCAACCGACCTGAACCGACCCATTAAATCGTACCTTTCGTTGTTCGTACGTCGTTTTCGTTCTCTCGGCTCGTCCGTCTGTTGAATCTTTTACTTGTTCTACTGGCTCGTCGCGTTTCGGTGCGCGTGCCAAAAACCACCGATGATTCCGAAGCGGTCTCTTTAAAGGCTCTCTCCCACTTAAGGGGTGTACATAGGTATTTCGGGTTCAAAAATCGTAATTTTATTTTTTTTTTATTGTTTATGAAAGCCCAATGTTTTAGGAATTTAAAAAAAAAAAAGATTTTATGGAAAAGTTCGGAAATTTATGGCAGTTAGTTTTGTTTTTGATACCGCCATGGTGTCCCAATAGGGCGACAGCCTTTTAAGGGGGAGCCTGGTGTAAAGGGACTAAAAATTAATGAATCTTTGGAAATTTCTTGTGAAGAAATTATTAAACCAATCTTTTTGGAACTCTGAGGATATTTTATCGTACAATTGAACTGAATAAAAAATTGTTGTTTTTACCGAAAATCCATCATTATTATAGTGATAATAATAACAGAAAAGAGTTATTCGCGTTCCGCCTCAGGGAATGTAACTCAAAAAATATTTAACCAGCTAACCCGGCATTGCATGTACATATAATTGACATCTTCTTCACAGCATGAACCTACATTTATAATTTTATTGTTTTACTAAATCACAGGTTTTTAGAATTTTTTACTTAAAAAATGTTGCTTTGTTTTTCACAAAAATGTAATTATTTTTTCAATTTTGCATTTTTTAGCTTCAAAATAGGTTCATACTATGAAGAAGATGTTAAAGAATACGTACATCTAAGGCTGGGTCAGTTGATTCAATATTCTAGTTACATTCCCCGGGCGTGGAACACCCTTTTTGCTCACAGGCTGCACATGAGTCCCTATAACTATAATATTTATGTATTTGTCGTGAAAATAAAATTTTGAAAGTATTCACAGAGTTTCAAAGAGGTTGGTTTAATACTTCGTTCACAATAAATTCTCAAAAGTTCGTTCATTTTTAGCTGTTTACACCAGCCCCTCTCCACCCTCCTCCCATAAACGTGGGATATCCTTCGCGTCGTTGAACGCACGCAACCCTAGACAAAAGTGTACCACCCTCGAGTATCAACGTCCGACGAGATCGTTTGCCTCGTTAACAATTCAGTTGCGAACACCCACGTGTTTGCGATCTTTTCATCCTCGGCTGAACCGAAGAGTCCACGTGAAACTTCCCGTGTTCGCGCGACCATATTTATGAAAGTCTCGTGCGAAAGGGACGTAAAAGCGTGTACCGTTTGTCGATACGTTAACGTTGCTTTTCGAGCTGTTTCCCGTCAGGTTGTTCGTGCCTGATGCATCCAACCGATTAACGCTCGTTTCACCGACATAATAATAATAATAATAATACCGAGCGACCATTTATCGAGATCTCTGGCGTCGTATCAGAGTTTTCGTGGCTCGATAACGCGTTCCCGATTTCTTCTTTTCTTTTTCCAGTTTTTTCTTCTTTTTATATTTTCTTGTCATTTTCACTGTAATTCGCCGCGATTCTCGAGGGTGATGATGCGTAGATATCAGATAGCTATCGATACCTTTGTGTAGGTATCGAACAAGCATCGATACTTTCGAGCGGATATTAAATAGGTATCGATCCTTTTTGATACCTACGTCTTTGATATGTATCGATACCGTATTGAAACTTGGAGAAAGAGTATCGATAGTATCGATACGGTATCAGTCACATCACTACTCGAGGGTAACCGCGCGATCGTACAACCTGCGGGTCGCACCCCTTGATACGCGTGTGTCTCGTGACCCTCCCCTCTCGTTCGTATTATAGAGATCGCGCGGATTTATGTCTAATTCCCACCTTTCCGTTTCCCACCTTTCGCACCACTTCTGTATACACACACCGGCGTATATTAGACACACCGTGTTCACTCGTGTCTCTGTGTAGCTGAATGCGTTGGCAATCGAGCCAGCCGGTGATTGGGACTCGTTTGTCTGGTTGCACGCGAACGAATCCGGTGCAATTTGGGCTCTCTCGGCCCTGCCCCCCTAACCGTTATTCGATCACCAACGTCGACTACGCGTTTTCACTTGTGATATTTCGCATATCGACAATGTTCAATTCAAATATCGATATTTCGTATTGATATTTAATGTGACGATATATTCCAGTCTCGATGTCACAGTAAAAGCGTGAAATATTAGTAAGTGTATTCACTTCTTACTAAATGAAATATTAGTAAGTGTATTCACTTCTTACTTGTCAATGTATGCATTTACGTACGATTTTAGCAGAAGTATAATTACTTTTCATTTCTATTAATTTATTTTCATTATTCGATTTTATTACTTCTAATTCAATTGCAATCGTCGATACCGATAATATCAATAATTTAATCCCGACATACATATGTCGATACTCTGGGTGTCAATACGTATCGATGCCAAATATCGATACAATTCAAATGTATCACCGTCACTATTCCCCCAGTTTGCGCACAATCGAACACACCGAGCTACGAGAACGCGTGTCTGGCCACAACGGAGATTCTCCGTTTCTCCTTCCGTTTTCGTGTCCCATGTCCGCTTCCTGCAACGCCCCGAACGACGGATTGTTCGAGATCAAAGAAATTGGAACGGTCGCGACCGTTCCCGACGACCGAGTCCCGACACCGAAAACGAGCTTACGACACTCGATTACAAAACCACGCGCGACTTTTGGTCGGCAGCATGTGCACAGCATGGCGCTAACGATGCTTTTCCGCAGTTGAAAAAAAAAAAAAAAAAAAAAAAAAGAAACGGTATCTGCTTTTATTACGCAAATACACGTAGCAGAAGAGAGAGAGAAAAACAAAAGACGAAGAAAGAAACAACAATACACGCGTGTTTGTTTGCCGTTTCTTCCGTTCGAGCCGATCCTGCGATCGAAACGTGTTTCTATAGAAATCGTTTTCGTTCGAAAAGATCGGGATCAGACGAGGGAGTCACGCTAATCGACGTCGAACCAAGTGATCGTTGCTTTGTCCACGAGCAGGATAATTAGCAACGAGCACCTGATAAAGTGAGCCCTCGATGAGTGCGACACGAACAACGACGTTATTCCCACTGCTTTGGGGGAGTTCCCCTCTAGAACCAATTAAAAACAGAGTGAACAGAAGCTAAGCAGAGGCTCGACTTTGTGCAGAAAAGAAATTTACGAGGGGTTGAAAACTATTCCGTCTTGCTACGAATGCTTCAAAGCGGTCCCAAGTGTGTCGCACTCATCGAGACCATTACTGTAATATGTATACTATCTCTGTTACTCGATACGTTCGATAACCATAGTACAGATTGGCGTGCTCCGCTCCAGAGACTGCTCGTTAAAAGTCGACCATGGTGTCTGCACGAGAAACTGGAAATCTCAATCGTACTCGATTCTGTTTCAGGAACCTTGACCGTGAACGTGAGCGTGCTGCTTCTAAGTCTGGCGTCCCCTGACGAGTCCAGCTTGGTAAATTGAACCTTAATTGTCGCATTCATTCGATAATTCGATTGGTATATCGATTAAACGGTGGTTCTAATAGGTGATCTTGATGTTGTTCTCCACAGAAGTACGAGGTGGAGTTCTTGCTGCAACAACAGTGGTACGATCCGCGACTGCGTTACAGCAACCAATCGCAGTACGACTTCTTGAACGCAATTCATCATTACGACGACATCTGGTTGCCGGACACGTACTTCATAATGCACGGGGACTTCAAGGATCCGCTCATACCCGTTCATTTCGCCCTACGGATATACCGTAACGGGACGGTCAACTACCTTATGAGGTAATTATCCGTGTCGAGTGTCTCTCTGTAGCTCGACGATTCCCGTCCACTTATCGTTGATCGATATGCTTCGGCCGCCTGTCCAAGCCGTCGGGAAATTGCTGTTGTCGATTGAACGTTCCACCAGGTGCGCCCGAATAACCGATTTAACCCTTTGCCTTATAACATCGAGTCAGACTTGTGGTAACGACATCAATGTGGATTCAACAAACAGAAATACTATTCATTTTCTTTGATCAACTAATTTACTCGTGACTCGGATCGCAATAATCCTGTTTCGCGTTTTCCAATTTCAGGCGTCACCTTATCCTATCCTGCCAGGGTAGACTGAACATCTTCCCCTTCGATGACCCACTGTGTTCATTCGCGATCGAGAGCAGTAAGTGAAAGTCCACTTGGAATCGCTCGACGTTTTCCCTCCGTCTCGACGTTCGACGGTCACGCCTGGAAAATTAACCGGTACGAATTTTCGCAGTATCGTACGAGCAAACGGCGATCACTTACGTGTGGAAGAACGACGAGGGTACATTGCGGAAAAGTCCGAGTCTGACGTCGTTGAACGCGTACCTGATCAAAAACCAGACAATCACGTGTCCGATCAAAGTAAGCTGGCGAGGTGAGTTTCTCGGCATATCCGACTTTGTGATCCACTTTACACGGAAAGACGTTCGAACGATCGAAATGGAAAAAAAGAACAGAAAAAAAATTAAACAATCGACGATCGTGAGGAGGGGTAGGGGAGGGAGGAGAGTGTATCTCCCACGATTTGCAGCACGTCAACGATCATCGAGAAACAATCTATCGAACGGTACCGTGCGGTTCTGACGTATTATCGATATACAGACTCCCCTTGATTATCGTCCCGAACTTGAGTCTCGCCGGGACAATAATCACATAGGAAGAAATGCTTCAGGTCCTCCTACATTCTTTTTTTTTTTTTGTTCGAAACAAGGGCCTCTTCCCCCTGTGGTGGGGATAACGCCTGGACAATAATCGTGTAGGACAAGCCAGACGATAATCGAGAGGAGTTTGTAGAGGATGTTCGCGGTAAATCGGAAAAAGTTGACGTAGGAGAAGGGCCTCCTAAAGTTTGGTATCGAGAATTATTGAAATTTATGCCAAATTAACATTCGGTTTAACATTTATTTCAGTACTTGAAATAAATTTATTAATTGGTGGGAGGCCCTTTCCTTTTGCCACTTTCTTCCCCTAGCGGAAGCCGAGTTTGCTCGTGAGGGTACCTACTGCATAACATAGTGAGAAACGCACCGACAGGAATCTGTTGAAATGCTAACGCAAGCGAAAACGACACGGAGTATCGTCGGACGATTTTGCCACTTTCTGTTCGCTGTCGATTCTATTTTTTACCATTCTTTCGCTGCATCCCTCAGTTACACGCTTCTGTATTATGGCAATGCACCGATGAACACTGCGAAACTCGTTGCTGGTTCACAATTAACAAGGGAAAGCACGGAAGTGTCCCTCTCCGATTTTGATGAAACTTCGTATGTCTGTTAAACAGTAAAAAAAGAAGGGATACGTATTTTTTTTAGCACCATATTATTCTACATAAAAAACCGCAAACCTCGTTGATTAGAAGTTTTCATGTATCGCCTCTGGTTTTCAAATCGAATATAATTGTTGATTTTGGATCGAAACTTCGATGGGTGATTTCACCCCTTAAAGTCGCGTCTCAGCCGATAAAAAAAAATACGTATCCTTTATTTTTGACTGCTTAACAGACATACGAAGTTTCATCAAAATGAAGAGGGACACTTCCGTGCCTTGTAAGAATTCTTAGCTACGCCTTGCGCAAGCGCTCGTGGACTCGAACACGGTGGTGCTTGCGTCTGACCTATCCGTTGACTCCCACCACTGGTTCGCGTTCGGACGTCCATGCTGGACAGTTTAAATCGCCGGTAATCGCGGGTCCAGGGACAAGCAAAATAACGTATACAGGGTGAAGCACTTAACTTGATAAAAACAAGAGTATAGAAAATTATTTCTACCCTTTATCTCTCTTTTATCTATATATAGGTTTCAAAACACGAATCAGATAGTGGAAGAAATTATATAAGAAAATAAACATTTGTAGAGTTCAAGGCCATTTCAAGATCATACTATTATACACGTATAAATGCATAATAATGTTATGGCACTTATACAAATTTTCCCGCCATCCGATTCGTCTCGTGAAACCATTTAAATTACGTAAAAAATATTTCTCGTATGGTCACAGATAGAAAAAATATTTAGGTGGCCTGTTTTAAGAGGAACACCCTGTATACTTCTGTAAAATACGCACAGCTCTGGTTGCGGTTTCATCAATGGGCTTTCGGTCACCTGCAAAGTGCCTAGTACGAAAATCAGTCGGGAGTCCATCACCACGAAAGCAATACATATAACCGAGTAAAGCAACGTGAATTGGAAGCTAGAATTTAACCAGACTCTGCCCCGTTCTCGGGGTAAAAGGAGCAGCCGCGGTAATACCTGTTCCCGGATCGATGCACCCCGGAGGTGCAGCATCCCTTGAACCTTTCCTCCATTCCTGGAAAACCAACCCCACCATCATCGTGTCCGTGGACCACGCCGTCGCGTTCGATCAATAAATTCGGCTGGCACCTCCGAAAAAGGATTCCTAATCCCGTTTCGCGCCTTGTCCACGTTCCACCTCCATTTCCTAGATCCTCTCCGACAACATCGAACCTCTCTGTCCCACATATCTCGCTCGTAGTTTACGTCGGATCAATTTGTCGCTCTATATTCCAGATAAAAATAAAAATAGAGACAACGCGCGCGAATTCTCGGGTTTCGAACTTTCGAATCGCTTCGGTCACGCCGAAAATACAGGGCGTCCTAAAATAGTTGGAAGTTCAGAAAGAAGTTATTCCAGGAGAACCGTTCCTTTCTTTTTGTTCTTTTTTTTTTTGTCCTCCCTACCACCGCGAAAACGCGTCTCGCTTGACACTTTCGTTTTCGTTGTTGCCAACTTTCGTCCGCGTCCGTTCCCGCGACGAGAATCAAATCGCGCGTGTCCTCCTTTATCGGAATAGAGAAAAGGGGAGCTCGAGAAGCGATATCACACGATCGTCGTGAACCGCCCCAGGTAAGTAACAGTCGCGATGCACGTCCTGAGATGTATCTTTTGCTAGTGTGACGCTGCGTTTTCCCGTTTGGGCGTATATGATGCTTGACAACTACACGCACAGCAACGAATTCTCCGGCACCCACAGTTTGTTGTTTCAATGGAATGGTTTTCCTCGCCGCGAGAGCGGTGATCCTCTCGAGACGTTTCGCGTTTTATGGCCGAGTAGGAGAAGCTTCCCCGGAGATTACACGTTTCTGTAGGAAGAAAAAAAGACTTAACAGAGATAAGAATACGGACGTTCGGTTCGTCGAGTGAACGTTTGAGATAAAAAAAGCACACGCGACCAATTCGACTGTACTTATTGGTATTCAACTCCCATGAGATTCAAGGTTAATTCTTATACCTCGTCGGTGATTAACCAAAAAGAGAATCGAACGTTGAAATTGAATCCAGGATAACACGCGTGTTTGTGTGTATTAAAGTTCGAGTGTGTGTGTGTGTGTGTGTGTGTGAATGCGTTCGTTTGCCTTTTTTCTTTGCGTAACGCTGAACAATACGAACGGAACTCGATCGAGGAATCGTTAAACGAGGAACGAAACTCTGCATGAGACGTAGCGAATACTAACTGTGAATAACGAACCTTCGTGTTTGTTTCCACCTTTGTTACTAGTTGACGTAGATGCGTTTTGTACTTACACGTATGTATTTTCTTTTTTTTTTTGTTAAATTTCTTTTCCTCTGTCTATATATCTGTCTCTGTTTCTCTTAATCTTTCCGTCTATCTATTTCTATCTCTCTCGCTCTCAAATTGTACGTGTATACACACATATATATCTATGGGTAATTGAACGCCGTTTATATATTTATATGTGTATACATTAGATAGATGATACATGGCTCCTCTAGAAACTGCATATTGGCAACCTTGGTTCCTGTCTCGCTTTTCAACCGAAACCCGCCGTGGTTCGCTTTTTAGGGTGAGGCCTTCTTGTTCAGTATAATAACGCCCGTAAATTCGAAGACCATTCCCCCCGTCCCCCCCCCCCCCCCACCGAAAACCATCATCTTCTCCCGCTGTTCCACGATTCGTCGCGAATCTCTTCTCGCTTCGCTAGAAAAAAACAAACAAGAAAAACCAAAGAAAACAGATTAAAATCTCGCTTTCGAGGAATATATATCACGCGGCCTCGTTGAAACGAAACACGGGTAACGCAGTTACGTACGGTACAATCGACGCTGTTCGTTTCGACTAATCGTTTCGTAACCGTCACCTTGGTCGCTTATAAGCTCTCTCTCTCTCTCTCTCTCTCTTTAAACAGCTTACGCAGCCAACGGAGAAGCTTGAACGATATTGTTCCTTAGAGCGAAACCCTCCTCTAACCGCTTTAACGACGATACCAAGAACGAAAAAAAAAAAAAACACAAACGAACGTTTCTCTTTCAGCTCGATGAACAAAAAGAAAAAATCGTATGCAAAATATTGGATCCGCAGAATCGTTCGCGCGCGTACCTCTTTACCCTGAAGGGATCCAACCATGGCGGAATGCGGGTAATGCTTGGTCTAGTTAGCCCAACGATTAAATCTCCTCTATGCTCGAAACTTTCGAACGCGAGCTTCTATAGACGGAACAAAAAAAAAAAAAATCATTGTAAAGAAACAGGAAGAAAAAAAAAAAATTGCAATTCTCGGACCGTAGACAGTTGATCGAGAAGAAGTGGGGGTCGGCCGCACGGTGAACCGAGCAGGGACGGATAGATCCTGGCGCCCGAGCCGTGCGCACTTTTTTCCAACCTTCGTTGCCGATTCTGTTCTTGTGCTTGGTCCTGCTTCGCGTGAACGTTCACTTGAAAAATCGATAGATCGTGTTGTATACAGAGTGAGCCGTTTAAATGGGAACACCTAAATATTTACGTTATTATTAATCGTATGAAAAAATTTCAGAGGACCAAGTTGCACTGCCTCCAGGGGGTTAATCCGTGGAAGACATTTTTTTACAAGATTACAGGGGCCTCGGTTCTTTTTTTAAATGGAACCATATATTTCTTTATTTATATTCTTATAGAGGGTGAAGTTACAAATTCAACGATCTAAAAAATTCACCCTCTATAAGAATACAAAAAAAAATATATGGTTCCGTTTAAAAAAAAAAACGGTCACCTCGGAATCTTGTAAAAAGAATGACCTTGAGAAAAAATGTTTTCCATCAATGGATTAGCCCCCTGAATACTGTGCAACTTTATCCTCTGGAATTATTTCCATACGACTAATAATAACATAGATATTTAGCTGTTCCCATTTAAATGCCCTCACCCTGTATAGCTTGTACCAATTGTTTCGTCCGTAAGTTGTCCAACGAAGATGACTAGCGAGTCGAAGAAACGTAGAAAAACATCGTCGTCTTCATTCTACGTTTCGTTACCGAATCGGACAATGTATCTCGCCCTTTCTCTCTCTCTTTCTTTCTTTCTCTGACTCTTATTCTCTCTCTCTCTCTCTCTCTCTCTCTCTCTCTCTGTCTCTGTCTCTCGTGCGTGAGTACGCGATCGAGATTTATCCGTCCCCGCCCGTAACCGAGTCGATCGAACAAAACCAATGGAAAAGAAAGCAAAAGAAGAATAAACAAACAAACAAACAAAAAAAAAACACACAATTTGGAAAGAAGAGAGGAAGGAAGATCGTGGGCTGTTCTGTTGCAGCTGACGGACAGATCATGGTCGACTACGAGGACGAGTTCGATGAATTCGGGGACTCAAAGTGCTCGCTGTGCCAGCGCAGGTTTGAGGAGCAAGGTAAAATCCTCCCTCCCCCCCCTCA